GTGTCTTCACTCCCGAGGCCTCCAGTGTCTTAAAATTTATTTTACACAGATCTATTACAATTTTCTCTTAGTTAGTTAGTGCAGGATCTCACTACACAGCTCAAACTCATAGTGATACTCCTGTTTTCAGCCTCCCCAGCACTGGGGTTACAGGTGTGCACCACCATGCTTGGACTCAGTTGCTGGCTCAGCAAGCCTGGAAACAGGGCCAGAGTGGCATGTGGTGCTAGGGATTGAACCCTCATACCTGGACTTGCCTAAGCAGACACTTAGGCTGCTGAGCTATCTTGCCAGCTTTTCTTATGAATTTCTCTTGCTAAACCCGTCTTTTATTACATGCATTTTGTCTTGAATTTAGTGATGGTGAAGAGAAATTTTTCCCATTCACATGGGGAAAAGCCGTTCTTATCTTGATCCAGATGAACTCTGTAGCACTAGTGCCAGAGGGAATTCTGAGTGCAAGAGTGGTTGAAAGCTTTTCCTTCTAAATTGTCTCATAATTTTTCTATGGATAGGTTATCCTTTCTTGTAGGCAAATCAAGAGTACTTTACTCTGTTGTCTCTATAGATCTTCACACATTTTTTTAAAAAAATCATTTATTGATGTATTTGGTACAGAGTCTGGCTATGCAGCTCAGACTCATAGTGATCCTCCCATCCCAGCCTTCCCATCACTGGGATTACAGGTGTGCACCACCACATCCAGTGCTGGGGCTGGCACAGTGTGCTCGGGTTCCAGGGCCAGAGATCTGCGGTACCAGAGATCAAACTCGGGTCCTTGCACTTGCCCAGGAGGCCATTAGACCACCGAGCTATCTCCCCAGCCCAGACCTTCATACTTTTAATCTTAAAAATTCTGTGCCAAGAGCCCATGAGATCCTGGTACATGTATATATGTTTACACACATACATGTCTGCATACACACTCTATGCATACATTTACTCACTAAAATGAAAATAATAAAGACAAATAATCAGGTACCAAGCACAATCATAAAGAGATGAAAATACAAAAAGCAGGTTTGGGAAGAAAGTCTGAACCAGTTATAGCTGTATCATTTTCTGGGTCAAGCAGAATTGTGCAAGTTTTCAAACCTATAAAAAGAAAAGCAGAGACAGCCTTAATAGTAGAACTGGTTCCTTTCCCCTCATCTCCCATTTTTTCTGTTTAGCACTTCATTTTGTACACTGAAAAGAGATCTCTCTCCCAAGAATTATCACTGGAAACCAGAACATTAAGGAAAACAATGAATTGGTAGATGGGATTTGTTTCAGCAAATGAGCCTAATATTTGGATGGAGTGCACAAGGATTGAAGGTGAAAGTGGCATACTGTGAAAGCCAGACCAGATGCCACTCTACACCACAATGTCTCTCCCATCCTTTCAGCTACTGAAATGCATTCCTCCTCTGCAGAGGGGCCAGAATTGTAAGGGACCTGGAGCTGACATGGCTTTCCCCTCCTTCCAGCCCTACACACAGATGCAGAGTAATTCTGCTGCCCAAAAGTGTTGTTTGAAGGTTACCAATGTGCATGTGAATCCTCAAGCACAAAGCACCTGGTGTATGGTTGCCTATAACCTCTTCTCCCTTGCCCTCTTCCTGGAAAATCTGTAAGTAAGTCTCTAGGTAGGACTAAAGATACCACCTCTCTGGTGTGGGAGCTAGGCCCAGCAAAAACCAAGGCATTCACATGACCTAAATGTCCTAAAAATAAATAAATAAATAAATAAATAAATAAAACTAACTAACTAAATAAATAAATGTCCTATGATCTCCTGATCAACTTCTATGACTGACAGAAAAATTCAAGCCTAAGCAGGCAGCCTCCCCTCATACTACTTGAGATTATTTATGGAAGGTAAAGATATGTGAAGTAAATTTTACTCGAAATCAAAGACCTAGACTGCTGAATGCTAAGATTTCTTTTCATTTTGCTTTCTTTGGGAATAAGAGTATTGGATCAAAGTAACACCTCCCCTTTAAGACTAAAAGAATTATTTTCATATTTTCCTGATGGAACCAGAGCATACTTAAATCCAGCATCCAGGGATACCAGATCATTGGTAACACCATAATTAGGATAAAGCCACCTGCTAAAACTGAATTGAAAATTTGTTAAGGTGATTCAGTGATCATAAGGTAGATGTCTTTTATTAAAAATGGCTCTCTGGAACACTTCTGTCCTACTGAGGAAACAAGCACTGAATGAAGGACATCTTTGCAGACTTGGAGTGGAGAGAAAGTTAGAGGCTGCATGCAATTGTTCTATACAAAGTACAATGCAATGGCCCTGCTGGGCCTGAGGCATGCTGTGTCATCTCTCCATGGTGGAAAATAAAGGGAGAGCCATCAGAAGCCATGAGAACCTGAGCTGTACAAACAAGCCTGGGTTCACCTATTATAAATTCATTCTTTGGCTTCTCAGGAGTAACTCGAAAGTCATCTCTACTTAAAACCTGTAGCACAACACCACGTATTACAATAAATAATGTGAAATTCATATTACTTTATTAAGTGAAAAAAAGAAAAACCCTTAGCAAAGGAGCTTCTTATTGCTCTATTACCCAAGTCAATTAAAATTCAAGAAAATTAGTGATGAAAATCTCAGACAATCTTTCTTTTTTGTTTTAATTTGTGAGGGAGGGTATGAAAAAAAAAACAATATGTGAGTCTTATTTGAAACCATATTGAATTTTAATCATAGCAAATGTGTTTTAACAGTAGTCATAAAATCAACATTACCACATATACAAAGGACAAGACACCAGTTTGGCATACAAAAATACCATATATTAAAATTGGGTTCATTGGAAAAACTCAGGACTGGCTAAGACACCATCTATAACAGAGAGAGCAAGCAAGAATGCTTTTAAGACATTCAGATTTATAAACAGCAGCTTGATATCCCCTTTATGAAGTCAATATTTGGCAACATTTGGACATTATTTTCTACACAGCCTAGCAGCTCATTTATCTGTAGGGAGATCTGGCCCTTTAAAAGAAAAGCTCTTAAAATAAATAGTCCACATAATTGTAAAAGAAACATGTCAAGGACTTGAGCAAACAGCCTCTGAGTAGCATTAATCCAGCCATTTGTCTGGAATACTTGTTATCCAGGGGGCTAGAGAATCCACCTGAAGCTGTTAAGAATGGGCAGAACCCAGGACAGCAGCTACATGGCTTATGTCAGAGGAGTCTGCAACCACCTCACGCTGAAGCCAGCTTCCACACCTGTAACTGTCCAGTGAGACAAACACAAACAGTGGAACAAATAAATATAATACATGACAACAATCAGTATGTAAACCAAAACATTCGATTAATTTTCTCAACAGTATTAAGATACTCAAGATAGATCCACAAAATTAGGTAGTGCATTCCACAGTTTAGACGCCTCCATTTGTACTGCATCAACCATCAACTCCAACTGGAGCAGACTCTGGAATTGTCTATAGAGTGCTGACAACCTGACTCAAAGAGTAAGGCTGAGGATAACAAGGAAAATGGGCCTCATGAAGAAATCATTAATTAGCTGAGCACATTTCCTGTGTGTTTTCAGCTCACCAATCTTGAACTGAATTTGGTACCCACATTTGAAAGCAAGTTGTGCTTGACTAAGTTATCCCAGCTCCCCTGTGCTACTTTGTTCAGCCGGCTTCTGCCATGACTCATTTCAATGTGTATGGCTTGTTTGCAGCTACCACCCCAATATAAATCTTCCTTCTTTAAGTATTTTCTCTGCCTAACCATCAACATAGACTGCTGGCTTTGTCATTACCTCTCCCAAAGAGGTCTATTTAGTAGTTGGGTTGTCTTCCAGCCAATCCAGCCAGAACCAGGTGAGATAGAAGCTAGTGTGTGCTTTCACTATTAGAGATACATCAACTTGTTCCTCCTATAAGAGGTATTTGCTATGTCTTTCTCCTCTCTTCTCATGCTCCTTTACCACTATCAGATCCAACCACCTTCTGGGTTCACAAAGCAAATGTCAGCATAAAAACTGACCATCTCTTTGGAAAACTCTTATTAGAATATCCCAGGAATTCACACTTCAAGGAGATTATACAAGATTTCCCCATGAGCTACTAGCCTTGTACCCTTTGATGATAAATTTAAACAGTGTTCTAGAAGAATGGGGACAGTTAGAAGGGAACATCTCTGCTAAAACCAAGAAAATAAACTCTGTTGCAGGTCTCAAGAGACCTCTCAATATCTTGCTTAAAACTACTGATTGCCCTTTAAACATTATATTAGAATAAAATTTAGCTAACAAGATGAGTGTTCAAACACCACTACCTGATTAAGTGTGATACACACGGTGGCATACCACAGGCAGTGAATCCAGAAAAAATCAAAAGATCATTGACCAGGTTGAGCAATGAAACTTGTGTAGAAAAAATGGAAAATACATTGTGGGAATGCAAGAATACTGGCACACCATCCCAACTCCTCAAGCAGAGCCAAGAAGTAAGCTATTTGGAAGATAAAAATTAAATGCCCCACTTGCTTATGTTTCTCAACAATCAAAGGTTCTTCCACTAACTATGCACAGTAGAACCCACCTCTTCCTGCATATAAGAAGTCTGGAGAGTTTAGTTCAATAGACATTTCCAAAAGTAGTTGCCTGGATGTAATGTACGCAACTTAGCAATTCTTAGGAAATACTCTAAATTCAACATTACATAATCTACAAATTGGGAGACATATCCAACATCTTTTTTACCATAAATATCAATTATAGAAAAATCAGATAGGTGAGTGTGCACGTGTATGTGTATCTGTGTGTGTGTAGTGAGTCAATTGCATCAGAAAAATTGATTAATTGAATTGCCACTTATTTTTGAGAAGTATTTCATGTTGAAAAAAACCCAGCAGCTGATCATCATTGCATTTGAAATAGATGATTATTTCCAAAACAGTCACTAAATTATTTTGGCAACCTCATTCTTCTCTAGTTTCTGTATGGGTAAGGATTACCTTGCGGGTGATGTTTTATTGAGAATGATGGAAACATCAAGGAACAGCTTCTCCATCTAGGTCAAGGATGACAAATCGACTGGCCAACATTTTGGTGTGAAAGCAAAACACTGCCTAGTTGGCAGCAGTATTTTTCTATAGGGAGGCAGAAATTGCAGTCTTTTGTCTATCATTTTACTCATACAAATAACCTTTGGGTTTCTAATTAAGCCTACAGAAAAACTACTATTTTGAAAAAGTTTTTAAATAAAATCTTAAAGACAAGCTAAAAAGAACATTCATGCTTACTAGCAAGTTCTAGAATGAAAAGCTAAATTCTGCTATGATATAGCAAATGCATTTGGTTTACATTACATTTGGGAAATAATGAAAACCAATTTTGACACAGCTCTGATTTTTAAATCAAAAATGAAAAATCTCTAAATCAAAATGTAGACTACAATAAATACCTGATGACAGTAACAGTCTGATATGAAAATATATCTCAAGTTGAATTTTCTTCTTCCTTTACTCATTTAAAAAGCAGTTCCAGTAGCTTTAATAACCTTCCATTTTTAAATTCCACTGGGCAATGTTTTTTTCCACTGTAAAAAAAAAAAACTTTTTAAAGTGCTTTGTGCTTCAAATATTTTAGTGATAACTAAAATTAAAGGGAGATACTAAAACAATGTCAAATCTCACTCTAAAAATAATACTTATTTTAGTCTGGCATCTGAAAAATGATGCCAAATATGCCCACACCAAATACAATGACAAGCTAGCAGACTTCAAGGGCAGACAAAAACTCTCTGAGTACTGCAAAGCATGCTTGCTCTTAGATTTCTATTGCAGTGATGAAGATTAGGTAAAATACTGGAAGTGAAGGGGGTTTTCATTGGACTTTTTTTTTTCCAGTATCAAGTACTTTTGGCCAGAAGACCCTAAACACAATTTCACAGTACAGGTCATGCACAGCTTGCAAGTCAAACATTTTACAGCTACTGTCTAACTATTAATTTTGGACAATAGATTCACATGCAGTTAATGGTCCCAGAAAAGGAACTTAATAAAGCAGTGTTTAAGTTTCACCAATTATTCCTTGGTTCAAAGTATCAATAACCTCAAAGGGCAACCTATGAATGCTTATTGCAGTACTTGATCACCTACTTTTTAAGCCCAGAAAAAAATTTTTCTTTTTGTCAACTGCATGTTATTAGCCCACAAACTCTCTCATTAGCCTCACTGTTATATTACAAACACCTTAGCTAGTAGCCAATATGGTAGCCATTAGCCACATGGGTCTATTTAAATTATTTAAATAAAATTTAGACACCAGTTTAATAGCCATATTGTCCCCAGTTTAATTCCCTAACAGCCACTGTGGCCTGTGACTACGATACTGGACAGCACAGGTTATAGAATAGCATTATCATTCCAGAAGTTCTATTGAACAACACTGATCTAAAAACCCCAAGGGCTATGCCACCAAACAGTTGAACTTCAAAGGGACCCACTCTGTGAGTCATGCACAAGAATAAACTGAATTTTATTCTTAAAAAAAAAAAAAACTTTCAGTTTTCTGATCATGGAACTGGAATTCAGAACCAATTTAATTTTCATCACACCTTATTGCCCCAGGTCATTTTACAAAAAAATTTCCCAAGACGATGCTTTTGGAGGGCACATGTGGCTCTACTTAACATATTAAGCAGTCTCTTGCTTATGTCAAGATCATTAATAAGGATGAAAATTCATGCTTCATATAGTTCACTATTTACATAACACTCATTGTCTCTAACTCATGGGGGAGAAAGCAGGCCAATATTTTTCAATTTTAAAAATTCCAGTCACATGGTCCATTTGATAATTTTCTTTCACTGTCTACACTGATCCCTAAATCAACCTCCATTCCCTACCCAGAGAGATAGCTAACTAAAGTAAAGAAATACACATACAAAACAAACCTTCAAGCAACAAACAGTTGACAAAACAAAGGATTGGCAACAACCCTGAAAAGAAGCCTAGCCAGACAAATATACCAACAGAGCTAGGAAGGAACAACAGAGCACATTAATACACAGCTTTTATCCACACTTTACAACAGAATTAATTACAAACTTCCACACTCCTCACTAGCCTCCACAGACTCATCTACAAAAAACAAAGCTAGCAGTGGATGGCCACAGCTTTAATACCTTGTGCTTTTCAGTTGTGACTTTTCACTCATATGCAACTATGAATTCTGCCCATTTGTGTTGCTGGACTTTTGTCACATGGAATAGATAGGCTGTTAGTGTTGTAGATACATGCCAGAAGAGGCCAGAGCAACGGGATGCCAAATAACATAAATATATCATTAAACATGTAAAAAAAATTTTATCTGGCAGGCTGAAGCAGCTCCCTCCCTCTTCCTCCTCCTCCAACACACACACACACACACACACACACACACACACGATTCACATACTGGGGAGCAAACTGCAAGTAGAATCCACTTAACAATTTAAATAACGTTTCTTACTTCAGTAAAACTCGCACATAAAATTCTGATTCGGGTTGCTATTGTTAAGTTATTGTAAGGTCAGGAATCTAGCAGAGAGCCGGTTAATTCTGCACTGCCTAATGGCAGTTCTAGCACGGGATTGTTTTTAAGTAAAAGTTTAGTGGACATTTTTACTCTACAGCTTTGCACTAAGAACCACAGGACATTGTTTCCTCACACAGATTAGTGTCTATATATAACCTACTACACAAGTAGAACTCTATCACATACTACACTACAGAGTTGGTCATTTCATACTGTACACAAATGTAGGCAGTTATCATTCACAAAATTAGTCTGAACATGGTATGGACTAAAATTGCAAAGTCTGTCTGAAATGCAGCACTCTTGGTGCAGCATTTCTCTGCATGCTTTTTCCTCCAAGAGACAGAAATTAGGTCAGACACGCATTGCAGCAGCCTGGGAGCTGAGACACTGACACTAACCCAACAGTATATTATGTTATGTAATAGAGGATAGTATTCAGCTAATATACCTAAATTATTAATACCAAATAAATCCTAGATTATTTGTTGTATAATGCCCAATAGATTACACAATAAAAATTGTACTTTAACCTAATTTCTAGTTTGAGCCTTCAAATACATTTTCTAAAGGTCTTAGGACAAATTTGAAAGATTTGAAATACCAGCATTCATAATTTAAATTGAACTCTCATGTCAATTAAGTGTTAGCTTTGTATCCTATTCTTTTGTTTAATTTCACATTCATTCCATCACTTTAGTATGCATAGCTTGTGCTGTTTAAAGATAATATCATATAAATAAATTAGGTAGTCTCAATCTTACAGGACTATTTTCTAATGTTGCTTTTTGGAAGTAGTCACCACTTAGCTTTCCCTTATTCCCCCCAAACACCACCACCACCTTTGCCACAGTTTTCAGGAATTCAGTGAAATCTAACACATATTTGAGAGGAGTACTTGACACATAGCTCTTACTTCTTGAATTCCACACAAGGAAACAGAATAAACTACAAAGCTCACAGCTACTTCTGAATGCAGACAGCCAGGGATGGGAATGTACCAGTTACCACTAGCAGGTCTTTCTTCATAAGCATCCATACACGGTAACACATTTAAGAATAGCTGAGCATTCATGAGGAACTGGTCCACTTATGTCGAAATGTGTGAGTCATTAGTGTACCTTATCACTTTTCTTAATAAAAACATATTTTGAAATACAAAAGATGTCGCTTTACACCAACAAGATGAAACAAGAATTCAAAAACATTCAACTGTCTTGGAATGGTGTCTGTGAAAGATATCCACAGACTGTCTGTTAAAATGCTCGTCCAGCTTTGCTACTGGTTAACACCACTCACAGCTTTCACAATACATCAAACTAAGAAAAATGTCAAGCTCTTTCCTTACTTTTCATTGGTGCCTAACAAAATACAGAACTTAACATAAAGCAGAGGAGAGCATGCTGGAGCTCACACAGAAGAAAGCCTCACTGGAAGAACAGTTGCCCACCGTGTGACCAGTGATTCATTCACACCACGATGTCGTGCTCCAGGGATTCTTACAAAAGGATTCAAAAACCCGAGGTAACTCAGATTACACACACTTATACAAATGCACAATATTTACATTTTTAAATTCTTATTTTGTGAGATGGCTTGAGAAAAATTGGCATACAGGTTTGCTGTGGGATCAGGCATTTCTCGTTATTTCTCGGTTTATTGCTCCCCTGTTGGGCTTCCCATTTAATAAACATGTAGCAGGATCTAATCACAAGTGAAGAAAAAGGAAGGTACATGACAAAACACAACACACTGGAGACACTTGTTGAAATATTTTCTCCAAAAATAACCCGACAGTCTTTTTCACTTATTTTGATTTGGATGCCATTCAAAATGTATATAAAGCCTTAGCAACTGAATGAAGACTGGGTTTCATTTAAAAAAGAAAAAGCAAAGAAGCCAGTACTGTGTGTCTTCACTGAATTTCACATGTATTAGAGGTTTAATTCTACTTGTATACACAGCACCTCTGGTTTAATCTACTGTTCTAAGATCACATTGTACGCACGTGTGCTGCTGAAGGTCTAAGTAGAATCTGTTTATCTTGTAACATGATCTTGAAAAATCATAAATTACAGCCCATTTAATACATGATTATGAGGATGCATGCAATCATCTTCAAAGCTGTTGCCATAAATTCTCAGAACAATTTTCCTGGAATCTTGTTGCGATCTCACCTTCTGCCCTTGGCATCTGTCTTCAGGTGAATTCAGTGGCAACCCAAAGGCCAGTGCTTGCCACCAAATGGTCAGTGTCACCCCCCATCTTCTCAGCTGGGATCCCATTACCAACACCTGCTCAACCCCTACGTTGGCACCCACAGAGCATCTCCTGCTCTCCACATCAGCCACAGGAAATCACAGTGAAGCGCTTAGAAATGCAAGACATGTTGTGGAGCACGATGCCAAGGAGGAAGACCAGGACACAGGCCACCAGGATGACAGTGCACACACCCGACCAGGTGGAGCTTTTCACCACGCCCCGCCTATCTGGCTCCTCCTCCACCACCTCCTGCGGAGCCCCACCTTGCAGGGGCTGCTGTTCAGCAGGGATGGTCACCACTGTGACAGACTTCTGCTGGCTCCCGGGCAGCAGGCGGCAGCCCATGTCTCCAGGCAGCAGAGTGCGCTCCTTAGAGATGGGTAGGGGCAGCATGTAGCACCCATTGCTGGGAAGTTTGATGAAAACGGGGGTGTGCTCAGAAGTGTGCGGAATAGCGATCACAGCTAGGACCTCGGGGTCATCTGGGAGCTGTGACACGGAGAAGCCTGGGGGCAGCTTGGTGATACCTCGACACCAGGGGCACCTCACGTCCTTCTGGCTTGTCCTCATCTGCTGGAGGCACACTGAGCAGCAGGTGTGTTTACAGTCCAGCAACTTGGGCCTTCGCCGAGGGCTATAATAATTGAAACAGATCTGACATTCCAGCAAAGAGTCCTGGGAGAGTGTCTCCATTGTGGACCTTGCGCAGGAAGGGCAGGGCCAAGACCAGGGGGAAGAAGCTGGTTCCCAGAGGCCACCACTCTGTGTCTTTCTGATGTCGTCTTCCTAATGGCAGGAGGGGCTCATGGAGCTCACAAGTATTTAGCGTTCCTTAGCAGGTGTGTTCATGTCTGAGGGAGATACACAATGCAAGAAAAGTAATTAATTCAAAGAAATCACAATACCAGTATACTTAAAAGATTTATAACATAGCTCCAAAGTCTAGCTTGCATCATAAGCATTAGTATCCAAATGGGAAGACAAAGATTCCTACACTGCCCAGCAGAAGATAAAGTTTTCAGACCGCATGTCAAAATACTCATTTCTAAAGAAATGAATTACCATCAACAGCTGTAAATAATGCCCCTTTATTTCACAAAGAGGGCGTCTTGTTTCATTCTGTACATTTCAGTGGACCCTGGATGTCCTAAAATACACTGGTGAAACACTCTCATTCCAGTATGTGTGTAGCATTCCCTAGAAGCCAGTTTCTTTCCATGGCCCATCTGGCTTTTTCCTGCCTCTACTTATTCCACTATATTATTTCCCAAATTCAGGCAACTTCACAATCGTAGGGGTTTCCTACTTAACTGGCATGTTGTCGCATTAGGCTGAAGGCTTATTCATTTCCAATCAGAAAACACACAAAGTATGTCTTAAACAGAAGCACACAAAGCCATCTTTTCACCTTTCCCACGAACTCATTAAAACCAGTAATCTGTATCAATTAGTTGAAAAGGGACAAAAACAGAAACCAAATAACCAAAACCAATAACAAAAATGGCACAGCAAAAAGCCCTCACAAACATAAAAAAAAGAAAAAAGAAAGAAAGAAAGAAAGAAAGAAAGAAAGAAAGAAAGAAAGAAAGAAAGAAAGAAAGAGAAAAAACACAGCAAGAACTCAAAGGGAGTAGACATCACAAAGGCACAATCATCTCAAAGGCGCCATTGACATTGCCTAGTCAGTTCCTTTCATTTCATCACTATTGAGGTTTGCCCCAAGAAACACAATTGCTTAAATACTTCTTGTTGTTGTTAGTGGGGATCCAACCTATGACCTCACATATTACAGGGAACTACTCTTCCATTGAACTGCATCCTTAATCCCCAAAAGCAAAAACTATTAATTCCCTATTTTTAGTGAAAGTACAGAAGACTGGCAGGCTTTCTTCATTATAAAGAAACAAAACACAAATATGTGAACATGTTAGGTTTCCTCATATAGAGAACTTAAATGAGATTTTCCCTACTCCAAGCCTCCAACAAAGCCAAAACAAAGACTGTCCAGCTGTGTTCCTATTGACACTATCTAAAGTATCTCTCTCTGGATGGAGCCACAATGATTTTTGCAAGAACTATTCCACCATTATTGAGAAATTACCATCATTACTCCAGGACCCTGCCTATACCCAAGGTCGGAAGCCTTCTTTAATATTTTTAAAATTTCTTTTAAAGTGAACAGGAAGCAGTAATAATAAAAGAAGTAGAAATGATACATGCTTTCACTAAACAAAATAATATGAATTGATACAGCTACTTTCTCTTAGTTCAAAGAGAAGAAAGTTTTGAACTAATAGTGTTTAGACAAGATATCATGTCTGCATCTTGTACTAGGAATGACTACTACAAAGACAACAATATGCAATGTATTAATTATTGTAACTGTACTACTAACAAGTTTTGAAACTATCTCATTGCTACTTCTTTCTCAATAAAATTATTTTAAAAAAGAAAATTAGGTTTAGTGACTCTATAGCAAAAGCAGATAAAAATAAATAAATATTAATTTGACAGTATTTGTTGTTCTGCATAACGTTGTCTTCAACTTAGTTGACTTGTTCAGATTACTAGATATATACATGCAAAATTGGAAAAAGAAAGAAAAACATTATAAGAAATTAAGCAGAGAGAAGAAAAAATTAAGCATTAACTGCTCCTTTCCATAGACCAACAGAAACTGATAATACAATCATCCACGCTATCCCACACACATGCATAGATATATCTCTTTCCCCAATTCCCTCTCCTGTCCTCATCTCATTAATTCCTTCCTTTTGAGTAGGTTCATTTCCTTTTCACAATATCTTTGTACTCTTCAAATTTTATTTTCTCTTTCAGGTTCTTACACTAGGGCGACAATACAATGTTTGCAGAAGGTCTGATTTATTTCACTTCAGAGTATGGTCTCTAGTTGTATCCATTTACCACTAAAAGCATCAAATTTATCCTTTTTATAGCTGAGTAATACTCCATTGTGAAAAATACATCTTTTTTATAGGTTCTTTAGTGGATGGGCATTTGGGTTGCTTCCAAGATTTAGCTATGACAAATTGTGCTGCTATAAACATGGGTGCACATACATCATTGTAATATGATGTTTTCAGTTTTCTTAGATTTTAGCATCCTTTGTGAAATTAAAAAAGCCTGTCCCACGATACACAACTAGTGAAAATCGAAATTTAAAAAAAAACAGTGGATAGGCCAAAAATAATCACTGATAAGCAGTGACAAAAGAACAATATATTTTTAGATATTTCAGCTTT